AAGTCTTCCACATTTCAATTACTGTTCTATTCTGTTTTTTCTCAACCAGAATGAAAAAATATTCACCTGTATATCTACAGAATAAATTGACATATGTGGCTGAAATCGAGGCTGAAATACATGAGTATAATTTAAGAAACAGGAACAATATAAAAGTTGAAAAATATGAAATAAATAGTACACATAATTCCTTATTTTATAAAGGAGTAGATTGTTTTAATGACCTCCCACAAGAAGTTAAAGAGAGTGGTTCGATAAATACATTCAAAAGACGATTAAAGGATTATTTAATGAAAAATTAGTATATGATCATTACATTTTTATGTATGTACCTAGTTTTTCATTTACACGTATGTATTTTTTAATCAGACTGATTGTAATTTTTCATGTTGATCTAAGTTTATTTATGATGTGAATGTATTCACTATTGTAAATGAATTTGTTTTTCAACTAAATAAAATATAGAGATATATAGTAGTTATGTCAGTGCCGGCACCCACGGTGATCGTAGCAAAAAGCAAAAAGGGTGAGCTGTGCCAAAAGCATAAGTATAATAAGATTTTTGTAGTGTGAGCAAAGTGTGAGCGTCTTTGGTTCATTCCAGGGGTATTTGATTACTCAGATAATGGCAACGCTGGTCGAGTTATTCGTAAACTGTGAGGACAGAATAGGACAAAAAATACACTCCCGTGAGGCGCAATGCACCGACAAGCTAGTCGTTTTTTCTGCAACCCTGTCGTAAGTAGCATGTCAGATCCACGTCGATCGTCTGGTCGGCCACCCCAATCTCCATTACGCGGCCTGAGAATTGCCGGTTTTACGGCTTCATCTTCCTCCTCACCTTAACACGGGGCACGACTCTTACACCTTTCGGTGCCGGCTCGACGCCAAATTACACCATCCCTCTTTATGAGACCGTATGAGTTCACCAACTTAAATTGGCGAGATTATACCCTTATCCACTTTCTCGGTTCCTGGACGGTTACCTATTTTATTTCGGACGTTAACTCCGTCTGACGGCACTGGAACAGGTTTTTTCGCTCCATGGCTCTATAGTTCAGTCATTGGGGATCAAAAATAAGGCTTACCTGGAGATAAATCCGGAAGTTTCGAACCTTTGCAGGTTTGTAGGTTTGGATGTCCAGAACTAAAATTCAAAAAATGCACATTCCGAGACATGCCGCTGGCGCCGCCATCTTGTCAAGATGGCACCCAAAAATAGTTTTTCCATTTATCTCCAAAAATGAGTTTTCCGGAGAAATATGTTGAAAGAAGAAACCAAGCGAAAAAAATTCCCTACAAGATATGATCTAAGTATATTTTTGCTAAATTGATGCGTTCAGACTCAAGAACTGATTGAATGACAACAAATTCTGTTAATTTCCATGAACTGACCCTAACTATCCCCATATATGCTTATATATAAATTCATCTTCTATAATAAAACGGGCATATATAAAATATGTTCCTATTATATTTTCGCTAAAGTAAACGGATTAAGGCACAAATAATGCCCTCACCAAATCAAAAATTTTGCCAAGTTTTCTATAGAGGCCAATTTCGGAAATAATATTATTGTTTTTTTTTATTTAATTGACTCGGCCGTTACTTGATGGAAAACTATGAAAAATGTAAAAACTTCACAAACGATAAGATTTCCACAAAATTCTCAAACACACGACATGTTCCGCTAACACAGTAGTTTATTGTACCAGTATATCACCTGATGAAGCTACTTTATGAACAATTAGTTTCGATTTAAAATGCTGTGCTTGTTTCCACACCACCCATGAGGTAGGTGGAGTACACGGTTTCCCCTGCAGGCCTAAAGGTCAGACGGACCTGGCTTGTTGATTTCCATATCTTCAACAGGGAAATGGTTACCTCAGCTTTAGAATCGATGTCGTTTTCCTTCAACTCGTCTGATTCTCCATTTGCAGTCGATAAAGAATCATCAAGCAGCGAATGGAGGTCGTCTTAATCGAATTCGTCCAGTGTCACTTGGCTGATATTTTCACAAGTTTTTCCGTTTCATACACCGCAAATCATTGAACATCTCAATCCTGCTCCACTCTGCATCAGCAGGCTCAACCACAAGCCACCTTACACTTACAAGATAAAAAAAGAAAGTACTGCTTTGGTAGCAGGATCTTTTGGAGTAGTTACTAGAGTGAGGTCAGTTTGTGTTTTCTTCCAACCCCATTATTAAACTAGGTACTTTTGGACAGTCACGCCATAGTTGAACCTGATATTATGATTGTTTTTGGGGGTGAGGATACCAAATTGAATTTACTTTTCGTTACCGACTTCACAAAACACTTGTATCGATATTTATCAAGATTGATATCATCTGTGTCTTTGGATCCATAGAGTGCAAACTGGCCTCACTCAAGTAACTACTTTGGAAGATCCTGCTTCCAAAGCAAAAATCAATGATTTGTGGTGTCTGCAATGGAAAAACTTGTGAAAATATCAGCCAAGCACCAGACGAATCCGATTCAGAAGACCTCCTCTCGCTGCTTGAAGATTTTTCATCGACTGCAGAAGGAGAATCCATTTTCCCTGTTGAAGATATGGAAATCAACGAGCCAGGTCTGGCCTCTGCAAAAAATGATTTTAGTACCTAACTGGATTAGGCTTAAAGGAGAAACCAAGAAAAAAGCGCCGTGTACTTTACTCACCTATTGGGCGGTATGAAAACAAGTACAGCATTTTAATCATTAACATGGATTGATTAATGAATTTATCGATTATTTCGTGATGAATATTCATGAAGTCCTAAAATATTGGATTTGAAAACCTTCAATACACATATTATTTCCGAATTTGGCAGGATTTTCAATTTGGCGAAAGCATTTGTGCCTTAACGGATTACTTTAGTGAAACTATACTGGGAACTATTTCAATAGGAAATTTCAGCAAGCTATGAATATAACGAGAAACCAATTGAATAGCCCATTATATAATGAAATATAATAGAGATTAACACAATATGTTGTCATTCAATTAGCTGTTGAGCCTAAACGGCTCACTTCAGCAAAAATATACTAGGGACATTTCTTGTAGGAAATTGTTTCCTCTTCGATTACTGTCTCAACATATAGTTCAGGTTGAGTGTAAGAAAGTAATTACCCATTTCACCATGGGTATACGCTAACTCTGCCTTTTGATAGTAGACTACCATGTTTATAATGTGCTTTACTGTTACTTTGTTTTTACTATCAATAAAAGCGTTTATTATTATTATTTATTAGTTTCCAGAAAACGCATAGTTTTGAATATATCTGCAAAAACCATTTTCGAGCGCCATCTTTGCAAGATGGCGGCGCCGGCGACATGTCTCGGAATGTGCATTTCGTGAATTTCAGTTCTAGATCCCCAAACCTATAAACCTACAGAGTTTCAAAACTTCCGGACTTATTTCCAGGTGGAAATCCCCAATGACTGACCTACTATGTGAACATGAGCTTCAAGAAAGCTATACTCTCACCTATACAGTGAAGATCAGGGCCGGATCAACCACAGGGCACGAGGGGAAACTGCCCAGCGGCAAATTCAAAATTGGTGGCGAAAATTTCATCATTAGCAAAAAACAAGAGAATTTCTAAGGGATCAAGGATTTCATTCCGTTGACGATTTCAATAATAATTATAAGACAAATATAAAAAATATATAAACATAATGCTCACTACTTCTTCTTACTATTCTGTATAATCCATGATTTTTAGTGGTTTTGCTGTTGAGTTTGTATATACCAATGTTAGAGAGTCTAAGGGGATGAATACATATTTAATTCTATTCTATAATATAATATTCAATAAGTACCTATTATCGTGATTCTGAGATCGTTCATAAATACAGGATTCGGTTGATATATCAGTCAACAGGGCGATATTTTCCTTTCAAACATTTGCTGATTTGCTGATTATGTCTTGTTGAACGATGCATTATTGAGACATTCATAGTGCTCAGGCCAGGAAGGGCGAGCTCTTTTATCCGTCATATACCTATTTTTCTTTTGTCCTAGAACAAATCGAGTTTCCAGAAATGAAATCTCTTGCTTGTGATTTTTACTTTCATTCATTTTACCAAGTGATTTACCCCAAAATGTCCGTGCTTCTGAAAATGGTTTTATTAAAGTGCCGGAAAGAAAATTTCAATCAATATTCAGTGACACCTTGTCATAAACAATTTCCGAAGGGAAAAATATGGATGGGTAGATCAAAAAATATCAAATTTTTATTTAGCTTCTGACGTTTCTGAAACGACTCTGTTTCAGTTTAGAACATTAAAATGGAAGATATTCTTCTTGTGTCTCGAAAATGCGAGCAGTGACTTGGGAATTTTTTTTTTAATGTGGCAACCTGTCGCTGATGTCCATAGAATGCGATATGCTGATAGACATAGATTTTGAAGAAGTAATTAATGATTTTGCCCATCTAAAGTCTAGAAGGGTAGGGTACCTCTTTAATCAATAATTTACTTTTTCTTTCAATCTGTTGATTATTCAATATTATCTATTCATTCAATGTGTCTGTGAAAAATATTATGATTTGCTCATCTACTTTTATGTCTATGCTAACAAAATAGTGCCCTGTCAAGATCATATTTAGGGTCCCCATTATCGTAATGTGTCCATCAGTGCCCCCAGTAGGTTAAAGACGGCCCTGACTATTCGGGGCACTTTGCTGCCAAACAAATGACAATCACAACAAACATAGTCACATTATTCCGTTTTAAGAGAATTCTACGATACTAGAATACTGATCAGCATGAGTTTGCTTCGTATTAACGAATTTTACATTCAGGGTGCTTCGTGCATTCATATCTTTGAGGTTGATTCCGAATTTGTGCATAAATAGGGTCAAGGATAAATATGTTTTGTTATTTACCTTGGATGAGCACCAAAGGAAACGTTCTTCCCTGACCCCAACTTCCTATTCTAGTTCGATATTAGGTATAAATAATAAGAAGGAAACGTCTGGTATGTTCAAACTGCAATGAGTAGGTCAGAAGAAGCTATGGAGTGTCTATTATTGTTATTATTCATCCTAGAAACTGTTTTTGCTGGTGTTTCACCAATCTACAGCCAGAGTTATTCTACAGTTTCGACGGATGGAGCTGCCAACACACAAACTCTAAAATCCAATCATATGGATGATCATCTGCAAAAAGGTACGTCAGGTTAATCCAATTCACTACCACCACAACCGCCTCATTCTGTCAATTCCCACAATATTTGAAATCATTAGAAATGCAATAGAAATGCAATAAAATTTCAATAGAAATGCAATAGAAATGCAATAGAAATGCAATAGAAATGCAATAAAATTTCAATAGAAATGTGCGGCTTGCACATGCAAATCTTACCATTCTAATTTACATCGTTCACTATTCCACTGCCTATTTTAGAAAAAAATCAATGAATCATTTCTCGTAATCAGAATCTAGTTTGGATCTAGGTTTGTAGTTTTTGATAGTTTGTCCATTTGAGAATCTGTGTGATTCAGAAATAATCAGAAAATGCGTCACAAGTAAAATATCTTTGAGGATCAAGGTCAGATGCCTGCAAGAAGTTCTTTTACGCGTATCGACAGCTACATATTTTAGTGCATTTTATGAAAACCAAAATAATATATACTTTTTTATAAACTTACATAGACTATCAATTCTTCAGAATTCATACTCGATGTTATTACTGATATCATAAGGGTGTGCAACATTGAAAAAAAACAAGTTTTCCTGTGGAGTGCCTCTTTTGTAACAATAGTTGTTCAAAATACCATCCAATCAAAATAATAAATTTCATAATCCAGACTACGAAACTATAGATTTCGATTTTTAGTATATTTTTTGATAAATTTTTCAACATATAATTATCATGTTACACTGAAAATCTCCGAAATAACGCTAAGAAATTTCATGATCATAGTTGAGCGCGAAAATCTGTACTAAATGAAAACGAATACTTCACACTATACAAACACGTAGAAGAATACTTATCGTGACGACCATGAAAACATTTTCAATTCATATACAGGAAACATTCGCTGGAAAATACACCATTGATATGATTTATTCTTTTCTGAGGTTTCTTTTAAAAGGATATATATCTCACCAGAATAAGTTGTCTGGCAAAAAATTGCTCACATAAAATGATTAAGATAACGGAGGTAGAGGTATTCAATGGTTGAAAGAAGACTCCAACTATATAAAACATGTTGTTTACATTTTGTCAAAAAAAACGCAGAGAAGCCGTTATCAGTCCAGCATTAGATACCCTACTGTTGCATTATTTCATCAGAAACACTAATCAAAAACCTCTCTTTACTTCTGCAACCTATTAATTATCGCATTGAAGTGAACCAAAAACCTTCAGGAGGGAAGTGAAGCGTTAGGACAAACAACTTATTTTGGCGAGATATATACCGTGTTAAGTAAAAAACATCACTTTCAGATTCACGCTGTGTTTTAGAGCGCCGTTCTTGAAATTCTGCTTCAGGCAGTGTATCTCACAAGTCTTGATCTAAATTAATGTGCTATAAAAGTGTAGTTTATGCCATGGACAATTGACAGTATTTGAATCTGAACGAAAATCAATTTGACACTTTTGTCATATTGAATTCTGTGCATTGTGTAATTGTATTTTAAAGTTTCAATTGAGTGAGTTCAGAATTGTTATATTATCTTTATATCCCCATATGAGTTTACTCAATATTCAAGAAAAGGTCATAGTACTTCGGTATAGAATGAGAATCATTTGGTACAAAATTTTCAAATTATTGAGTTTTCCCATAATTGTTGATGATAAGTTGGGGGATGGAAGAGGTGCATAATGTTCTATCATAACAATAAAAGAAGTTTTTGATAAAATGACAGTTGTGAAAAACAATGGACGATGGATATTGAGATATTATCTCTGCACATCTCAGCTATATAAGAAAACCTGTCCTACTGCTGCTTCCCCGTTAACAACTGTTATTCAGCTGTTTCACACGGAAGAGCAAAAAACCAGAAAAAACACACACAAACTCTGAAATCCAATTCCCCGAACGGTCGTCTGAAGATTAATATGGTATAATCCAAATGGAATGTTATTACATTTTCATCCTCACCACTCTTTCTGGCTTTCAAGAGCTGAGAAAAACTAATTTTTCGCATTTCTGTTCAAAGTAGGTTCATCTACACGAGTTCATAAAAGTTTTATTCTACGGGTTCTGGAGTTCCAGACTCCGTGAATCAAAATGTTATAGCATACTTTGCTCTATCTGTTCATCCGAAAGTGTTTTATCTGCACGAGATATACTCCCGAACAACTGAAACTTTCATCAAATAATATAGACAAATGTTATCTATAGATTTCGAATGATGATTATTTTTCAATCCATAGTGTATTCAACAACATGTAAACACTAATTATATCAAAGTTTGTACATCATTCTTCACCGCATCAGAGCAATACATATTATATAGGTACATAGTTTCTTCACGATATCATATACAGGGTGTCCCAAAACTCAACGTCATCCTTTGATCCTCTGAAGGCCTGATAGTCCAGCTCATGACTGACTTGAATATCACAATATGACCCTAGTGAAATATCGATAGTTTTGAAGATATCGGCACTTTTATGAGTTTCGTAAAATCAGTATTTCGCAGGTACATAACTTCATAGTTCAAAATTCTAATTTGTTTTATGGAACCTGTAATAACCCTGGCTATTGATTACAATCCTCAATGAAGATATTGTGCGATATCTTTGACATGTCTGCCGATTCACGAGTTAATTTATTTCAATTAGCTCACTTAGACTCTTCATACTGCATACTGTAAACAAAATCACCACGTGAACCTGGCAAGTTATTTCTGCTATGATCAAATGTTTCAATTTTCACGAAATTCATGGAACTGACGAATTCTCCAAAACTATCAATATATTGTGATATTCTGGTCAGTCATCAGCTGTACTACCAGCCCTCCGAAGGATAAAGTTCAAATTCAAATATCTATTGCCGAAAATGCTTTTTGTTGGGTAACTGGATGCATTACACAAAACAAGCCACGCCCCGTGTGTAAGAGCCTTTACACAACAGGCTATGGCCAATCAGCAACAAAGCAGATTCATTACCTACAAAACAGTTGACATCAGTTGTATTGATAATATGGGGCATGCAGTGAAACGTTTGAATCAGACTCGTCATGAAATGTCATAATTTGACAATAGCTATCTGGCGTGATTTAGAACTGACTTTTTGTGCAAATATGGATTCAGAAAGCGAGAATGAATTCAACTGCTCTCCACCATCAGAAGTTTTGAAAGCTGCCAATTCAAGTACAATCAGCCTTTTGCCCGAGGAATCTGAAAAAAGGTATGAAGTGGTTTGGCGAAAAGCAAAACTTGCAAATTCGTTTTCGGATAATGTACTACCTACTAGCCTATTTTGGCGAATCAGCAGCTAAACACAAAGCATCTTCCTTGTGATCACAGTATTCCATGCATATACTAAGAAGCACAATTTCAATAAAAAATTATGTGAATATTGACAAATATTTGAAATTACGAGCATTTCTAAAAAGGAAATCTGATGGATATATGTCAAAGAAAGCGAAGATATTCACTGCTGATGAACTCAACCAGTTCATCACTCAGTCATAGAAAAAGTATAGTATTCTACTTGCGTGTAATGGCTATTACTCATTCGAATGATTACGACGTTCGCCTGCGGCTCACGTCGCAAACTTCATTCTCATGAGTAATGGCCATCGTTACACGCTCGTCGAATAATATACTATTTTAATTCGTTACCTTCGATCACCATGAATACAAGAATTCACCTGCTGTGAATTTTGAGAGATATGAATAATGTCTATTTACCTACGGCCACTATAGGGAGTAGGCAAGAACACACGAGATACAGCCACAATAAGTAGCTTTTTACGCACAGTAAGCACATCGCACAGTTTACGTTTATTCCACCAGATCGCTTAATCGCCGTCAACAGCCGATGACATAGCTGTCAAGAATTATAATTCAGACTGTTTGTCCAAACTTTTTTGATGTACTATCATTCATACACTCATTCGTGCGTAACATGCTTCTTAGAACATATTACGTAATATACTATTATATTCGTATGACAACGGTAATATTTGATAATTGTTGTTTGATAGACGATCAGATTAATCGAATGTTAAATTTTTCATAGATCACAAAGTACCATTCAATCATGAACTTTTTTCAATTTCATCATTCAACTATGATCTTTTCTCATATCAAACCTGAAAGGTACCAATTCTAAATAAATCAATATCACAATTAGCAGTTATAACATTTTTGAGAATAAAGAGTTATGAAACTTGATTTTCCTTGGTCTATATTTATATTTAATTATCCTTTTTTTTTTCAGACGTTCAGCAAAAATCAGTGCCAGAAAACATTGCTAATGATTCAAAAACTGCTGAAGGTGTTTATCCAACATCCGACACCTTGATTCCGAATGAAATAACATTAGAACCAGAATCAGAACAGATAGATTTCGTATTCTCTCCGAAAAAAACTGAGAATATTGAACTATCAGAAGAAAGTGAAAACATTGATGGTCAAATAGATACAAAAGTTTCTGATCTGAGTCCATCCAATGAGCAAGGAGTTTATTACATTTTCCATCCCAATGGAATATTGCAAAAAGTAGTGTTTGCTACAATAGATGATCCGGAAAGGGGACAGTATACTGCTAACCTTAACTACCAAAATGTGCAGCCGATTGTAGAGCCAGTTTATACTTATGATCCAAAGACTTTCGTGTTCCAGAGGCTGCAGCTATTTTCAAATTGATTTATGATTTTCCAATAATAAAACTACTGACAGAAACTCACCATACCTCTATGACTAATATAAATTACCTATTCGAAACAATTTTCGGGATGATAGTTGGCAATCATAAATTCAGTTGACTTATCTACATCATCGTCGTCACCATCGAGAATTAATTTCATCAATGAATCCTTGGCATTTTCGAGAATCAAAGACTCATCAGAGTGGAAATCACCGGAAAATTTCAAGGCTATATTCGAATAGTTATATAATTCAGAATCTCGTACTAGTTGCTTCAATTTTAATCTTGAAATACCCCTTGTGTTGGAGATCTACTTACCCAATAGAAATGAATTGTTTTCCGATATTTTTGACAAAATATATGTTGAGACTCAGATTGAGATGTGGAATCATAATATGATTCCATGATTGATTGAACATTTTGGATAACACTTAGTTACAATCTTAGTATCCGAAAGGTATACTGATGATGGATAATATTCACCACCATGATAGTGTATGTACGTGTAAATAATGGTTATCTGTTATTACACTCATTGAAGTTGAGACATCAGGTTCAATTCCAGAAATGAGACTATATGTCTTTACTGTCGAAGAGGGCGTCACTATTAAAATGGAAAGAAATGTTCCCTTTTATTTTAATGAAAAAACACTGTCGCCTACAAATCCTTCATCTGGACGGCCATCTAATCAGAAATAATGTTCTTCGACCAACTCTTTTTGTTCCTCGGTTAATCTCCAGAGTGCCCATAATGAATGAGGACAATCTTCCGTCGAGTTGAATTCAATCGTATCCGTTTCCAATGGAATCTATCTGGCTCATCATGGAATTGGAACGTTTCTGGCTCGATGCTTCCGATCTGGAACTTCGACGACGTGCCCTGAGTATTCAGTTCTCATTAAATTGGTGAAGTGGCAATTCGATGATTATCCAGCATTGATGTGTATAAAATGTATCACTTCTACTTTCTTCAATGTCCATATAGTGCACATGAACTGTCAGTTGTAATCTGGTAATCAATATGTTGTCTCTGAAATCAAGTGGTTTGTTCCATTTCCATAAATTTCATTATCACAGCACTCATAGGGCCATCGGCAGCTAATGCACCCATCATGTTGTAGGCATTGGTTATGGATTTTCAGATTTTTCAAATCCAATTCTGAATTGTATCAATTTTAGAGATATGTTCCTCGATCCTATATATCCTATATTTTCATTTTATTTGATGTTTCTATTCCTGAGGTACAATCGTTCACGTGTTCTTCATTACTATACACAATATTCACGGCATTCAATGAAGGATGTGACCTCCGTGTATGATAACGGAGAGATTAGTCCTCAATGATCACCAGGTGTCTCTAGATCTGATCAAATCAAATCAAATCGAGTTTATTACCAGATGTACAAAAAACATATCATTCAAATTTTGTCCAGCTTGTCACAAAAAGAGAAACCTGTAGAAACATTACTGATACATAGAAAATATGTTTACAAAAAGTAACACTCTCAATAATTAATTAATGACTACTACACAAGAAAACAGTTACTCATCACATGTGAAATTACTCAGCCAGAATACTGTAGAATGCCTTGCCTATCAAGAAATTTTTCAATCTATTTTTGAACTGATTCATTGTATAAGAAAGTTATATTGATTCATCTAATTCGTTATATGGAAGACTGGAACCTTTGGCACGATAATACGTGTCGAAGCGTTCAAAATATCGGTTTTGGTTGGTGGTAAAACAGTGTAGTGTATCTAATTCATTGTATAATTTGATGCCTATATGATTTGGATCATTTTGGCCGATCTGGAGTCTCTTAAATGGTAAGTGTAACCCTCAATCATGTAGACAATCATTTGTTTTGAAAGAGGTCGAGTTCTTTCTGATAAACACTAGAACCTCAAAGATGTATAAACATGGCATTGTTAGAATGCCCAAACTAATGGAGTGCTTTTTACAGTGTGAGTTATATGGCAACCCCAGCATCAACCCGATGGCTTTTTTTGTAAAATAAATCTCTTTGGAAGCTGCGCTATGGCTCCAGTAAATTATTCTATAACGAATAACTGATTAAATAATATAGCAGTAGTAAAATTTTGTTAGATATTGTATTTTTCAATTGCCTCAAGAGAAACAATTACCTATGCAACTTAGATCCTAGATTTTCAATATGTGATTTCCACGTCAACTTATGATCGATTGTTATACCAAGAAAAACTGTTGTTTCAACTTGCTTAAGTGATTTCCCTAACTCCACTAAAATGCTACTGAAATGGAGAATTTCCATTGTTTCCTCCCTATAACCTACTACGGTGCTTCATTCGTTATTTATCGACCTCCAGGAAATATGGAAACAGTTCTTCCCAATATTCTGTAGAGTTCTGGAGAAAAAATTGTAGAAAAACAACACTTCTGAAAAAAATTATTATTTTTGTTTCAATACCGAATTGAGGAGAAATTATGGAAAGTTTTCGCAATAAAGTCTCATTGTATCATAATATGACTGACTTCCAATCAGGAAAAATTTCCTTGAGATCCGGCAACATCTCGAATGTAGACAATGATGTAATGGTTCTACTTCACAACATGTGTAAGTTTCGTTCTGCGGACATTTTGACAGTGTTCCAGCTCTCATTAAAGTCGATGAAAATTCAGATATGTTATCGAAAACCGCATGGAAATCGGTCGATTATTTGAAAAAAAAAAACAACAGGTCATCTGAAAAGAGACAAATTATCAGTGCTTCATTAGTGTGTTGAGAACTGTATGCAATAATCATGAAAATATATTATTCTGTGGGTTACGATCTCGAATCATGAATTATTTCAACATAATTATTATAGTTAAGAATAAATTGAAGTACAACATTCATATTGCAGACATAATATTTATCGATACATATCACTCATTATAATATCCTCATTATATTCATAGATGTGAGTTTATTCAAATTTATTGGCACTCTCAATTTCCCTAGTGCATGAAGTATAGTTTTCTAGATGTACTTATACTGTTGAATATTTCAATTGGAAGTTCTTCCTCTTTTTTTCAAATTCCAGTGTTTTTCAAATCAAGTATAGTTATTTATTATACAAGGGAAAAAAATAGTAGATTTTAGCTCCAGGTTGTGTTGGTGAGAAAAAAACCGTGAGCTAAAATCTAATATTTTTCCCGTGTATAATTCACTATTTTATTATTACATTATTTTGAAATCTGAAAATTATCGGCGTGAAATTTCAAGTTTTTAACAGTATAGGGACACCTGCGTTGTAGGCATCTTTATCATGCTTTTGAAGTAATCAAATATCTGATGTCACTTCTGTCAGTCTAATTCTGTGATTTGATTTCAAAAAATTGCGAATTTAGTGGTTGTTCAGTAATATACGTAATCGCGAAGTCGAATGGGAGATAACAGGACTTGCAGTTCTTTCTCGGAGACGGTATTAATGACTCATTTTTCGGAACTATAGCCACATTCTTCTAACTGTGCTATAGCACAACAAAAGCAATCAACAGTGTATATATATGTCATATATATCCGGGAAAAAAGTACTCACTCTTTTCCCACGGAAAAAAAGAAATTTATGAAAAGTGACATTTTATAACATGCCAACAGAGATGAAATGCCAAACTTTTTCACCGTCACAGAAAAAAAGCAATAACTCACTCATTGAGTATCATCATTTATTTATTTACTCTCGTCACTTTCCATAATATGATGCATTTGTATTCATTGATATTTTTCTGGATAAGTAAATACCTAATATTGATAGAACTAATGTGTTATAGAAATCATCATCATTATAATTTTAATTATTATCATCATTGTTATCATTCTGCTACTTTTAGCTTCATCCGATGGCTCTTAATCAGAAAGGGTGAAGATTTCCATTTCCAAAATGGAGCATTCTCGTTGATATATCTTAGTTGATAATTATATCGAATGCTTCTAATTCACATGAAGAAACTCTTTGAGAAATGATTCTGAATTCATAATTTCTAATATTAAAACAACTCTTCATAATATAATGTGTAGAAGAACAGAGGAGGTAACTGATCGATCGATTTTTCAAATCACTCATTCTAATAGCTTGCCATTTCAACTGAACACCTTTCAGATACTTTATTCATGTGAAGCTGATTTCCTGCGAGTCCTCTCAGGCAAGATAGTGGGTATACTCGAAGGCATCATCAGGATTCCCTATACTATATGTTATACGAAATGTTTGTTATTTATTTAGACGCTCATGTATACGGAACAAACCTATATCTTTTCCTGTCCGTGAAATATTGTGTGACGTATATTCGTATAACCATAAATAAAGTCGTTCCGTGTATTTATAGCTTGCCCTTAGTTTTTAACAGTGTCAGTTGCCTATACCCTTTTGTTGTAAATCTGGTGTTTGCAAGAAGTATTGAATGAATTTGTTTCGTAATGAAATATTGAGTGAATGAAAACAACAATTCAGGTCGTTCTTTTTTATTCGCTCTGTTCCAATACCTACATAAAATTGGCGTCATGGAAATAACTAGATATCAATACATCATAGTCCCAAAGAAATGCCTTCGAAATTTGTATGTCAGAACGTTGATAAGGAAAGCCAGTTCGCCTCTGGTTGAAATGCGTACGAAAAATTCTAAAAGTAACAAGAGTCACAAATGGAAAGATGTAAACTGATGAACTGAACAAGTTTTTTGGTTTGAAACTCTGGATTTATGAATACATTCAAGAAATCGAGAAATTGTGTGTTAAAACTAATCAACTTTCAGTGGTATACCAGCCTATTTAGAAGAAAAACAACAAAAGTTATTGCTGCTCACCTTCACATAATAATAAATTTTTATCAATATCAAAAGTATATAGTATATATTTTTTCACAAGAATATTCTTTGGCTTAACTGGGCTGGACCGTGCCCAACTATACACAGTAAAAATATAGAGTGAAATTGAACTCTATACCAGTTCCCAGGAGGACCACTAAGCTTCAGAGTAAACGATTCAACCCTATAGTTCAGTATATTATAGTGTGATTTCTGCTTCTGCAATTCAATTAGTGTAAATGTTCAATGCAAGCACATTCAAACTCACTCTAATAAGTTTCCTAGATATATTGAATAAACACAAAAATAATGTTGAAACAAACAATTTAGAAAGTGAACACACCACCCACAAAAGCTGAGGGTTGGAGTAGATTTCACACTATAAACAGAGTCGGGTCCACTAGAAATTGATCGAATTATTCACTCTACCTGGACGTCGAATGGCTCCTGCATTGGTCAAATTCACACTACTTCATATTTAGGTGCTGATAACACCTGATAGGGAGTTATAATTATCATCAATTCATCATTTTGGATTAATATAGAACACTAGTTGTGTATACTAGACACTACCTATAGGCTTCCGGCAGACGTTCAGCTGCCAAATCTTGTCGCTCTCGCAGCGCCACCTGCATACAGTCGCGGACGGATGAGAAGTAGAGTGAAGTTATTATCTTTCAAGTATTCGAAAAATTACTCGAGTCATACTAAACTAATGAAGTAACCTATCTGTTTTATAAATTATTCGAAACCCAAAAAACTGAAGATATACGAAAAAACATTAATTATTCAATGTAAACGATCTAAAACTGTATAGATCGATATTTTATCGTATATAGATTTAATTTTTTTTATGTTCTGGTTCCCACGGAAATGGGTATCCTGTAATGTTCAGAGAACATCGTGAGAGCCAAGGAAAATAAGGAAGGAATTGGTGTTCTTCTCAAATCAATGATATTGTCAATTTCATCGACAAGAGTGGGACATTCATATTCACTAGTGACAGTTAACATACTAGTATGAGTTGAATTTCAATTGTTTGCGGAATGAGTTATCTGAATTGATGTTCTATTGAAATTCCAGGAATATAGAGTGAATTAATACGGAATTAGTGGAAATTCAATCTAGAGTTATTTTCGAAAGAGATAATCTGCGAGAAGTGAACATTTAGAGTTGATTGCAGTTTCAGAGTGAGTTTGTCAGAGTATTCAAACTAAAAACTGACTCTGCGAATTTAACTCGAAGTGTTTTTCACTGTATAGAGAGTCATTCTAATAGTACTTTTTAATGTTCTTTCAAATTGTTTCATCAGCCTTTGTTGAAAATATAAAATTTCTGAGATATGACTTTCAAATAGTTTTTTTATTTTCTTTTCTTTTTTTTTTTCTAGAATCGACAACACCATTCAAAGAAACATTAAAATATAGGTACCAAAATAATGTTGAAGTCGTCTTTTCATATAATCAATAGTGAAAAACGAAAATGCGATTTTTTTTTTATTCTTGAAATTACTGAAGCTAGTCAAGATTTCTCGACTCATTCTGAATCACTATTGAATTTGTTGAAACTTTCCTGATTTATCTGACTCTCTATCGCTCACAGTTACCAAGATCCCAATGGTGAGGATGATCGTCGAATTTCCCGCTCATCTTAGCCATGATTATCTTTGTTTGAGTCACACGATACCTTTTGGAATGGAAATAATCGCGAATTTCTCTATGATTATAAATGAGATAGTCCTGTCCTCTCCTCACAACACAAAAACTCGTAGTTGAGCCAATGCGTATGAACAATAGTGAGCTCTCCTGCGAGTTCTATCAATCTATGCATTTTCATAAGGCGTTTTCGGAAACTTACCCAGGTTAATCGGATCCATGGACGTATAATCCCTAACCTGAACCATCGAATCCTCCACGAACAGTTCATCAAGTTCTGAATCATCGTCAACGTTATAACTATTGTTGTCCAGCGATTCTGTTTCTAATACTGCCCAACATACGGAAGGACATCCTGATCGTGAAGCGGTTGAAGTGGTAAGGAATCGTGCCAAAAAAGGAAGGCTGAATTTAGTAGGCATTTGGGGACAACCGCTTATAAAAAGAGTATTCTGCTGAAAGATAATATAAAAAGAAGAACTTCCTCTTCTTCGTACGAACAAATCACATTCCTAAATGTGTTGCTGACGTTCACAACTATCCGAAATGAAACAACTCAATCAAAATTTCTTTAGTATTTTATTTGGAGTGCAGCAACCAAACATACCCTGAATCTGTTGGTTTCTGTCCAAAAAAGAGCAATTCGTCTCGTGGGTGATGCCTCGCTCACAAACTCACTCACTTCTCTGGAACACCGCAGAAAAGTTGGCGATCTGGCTCTATTTTATGGATATTTCCATGGACGATGCTCTTCTGAAATATCAACGATTGTTCCTCCCTTGGCAGTCCCCGCGAGATTAACCCGTCGAGTTGAGGCTTCGCACCCCTTCGTGGTCACTTTGGAGACCTGCAGAACATTTCTTTCCAAAGACTCGTTCATCCAACGAACAGCGAGGCTCTGGAACACATTGCCAAGTGAGGTGTTCCCCGACGCATATAATCTCCAGAAATTCAAGAAGAACACCGATTCCTACCTTATTTCCCTTGGTTCTCACGATGTTCTCTGAACATTACAGAATAGCCCTTTTCGTGGGAACCAGAACATGAAAAAAGTATAATCTGAGAATTTTAGTTTTCATTTTCTATTTTAAGCCTTAGTTTTATTTCACCAAAGTTTCATGTGACTTCGTTCTTGATTTATATAAGTTCCATAGTATTATATGAATGGAATACACCACTTTATGATCATTTGTTACCTTTTATATAGGTATTTGTTATGGATATAGTGTCACAACTCATTTTTGGAATGAAACACTATTTATTCTAAAACGAAAACGACGCATCTCAAAATGGTATAGGAGTTTCAGGCTTGATTTATGAGATTAGGCACATAATAAAGAAAACTATAAAGAATTGCATTTCTGTTTTCCATGATGAGTGCATGATAGAATATTTGAAATATTGCATAACATAAAATGATTCTCCTGAGTTTCGACATATTTTGAGTTACGACACTTTTGAAGCGGAGGTGCGATATGATGAAGAGGGGAGTATTTTTAAAAATTATTCAACGTATGATTCTCCGCAGACTTATTTTTCATGTTAATTGTATCACGATAAACTACTTTGCATACAATGAGGCGTGCACTTGCTGTTGGGACTTTTTCAAACGTGCACTTTTATCCTGATTACAAGGACTTTAAAGATGCAAACATTAAAAAAACTCATGAAATAATAAGCAAGTCTTCTAGAAATACCATTTGGGTATATATTTCACAACTGATTTCCTTGAAGTTTCTTAGAATAGCTTCCTGCTGGACAATAAAATAATTTTATCGAAAAAACATGAAGAATTATGTGTAATGAAAACAATATTTTGTATGTCAGTTCACAGATAAATGTTCTTCGAGAATCGAAATCAAGAATCACAGCATGATTCAATTCATTACAAGAATGTTGTGTGTCCAGGTTTTGATATCCTATATCCAGGATGTTGAAGGGGGAGGTAAAAAGATGTTCTCCCTTTAATTACTATAGAGAAGGTTTATACGCAAAAATTAAAATATGGTGATAGGTACCCTACGAATCCCATTTTTGGTGACCCGATTTATTATGGATATTTTGTGGACAACTGGATGAGACTGGGATAAAATCGATTCTGCTTATCGACATCCTTCTCACAAACCGAGAAAAAAAGAGTTTGATGATCAATGCAATGATCCCATCGGTGTGACAATGCTGGGTGGTGAAATTCAATCATCTTCTCGCACAAATATACATATAAGGAATTCAACAGGTCATGGAGGATATTAATGAGGAATATGAATTCGATATATTTTTTAAACTCTCAAGCTTTACTTATATTTCAAGAACTCCGTATTGGAACTGTTCTGCCAGAATCAGAGAAATAAACACAATAAATAGAAACGAATATTTAATTTTTATTTATAATTCCATTATACATTAGTTTACACACGTTAAGAAATATAACTACATGCAATTTTCCTTCATTTTCTATTGAATATGATGGATCACTTAATCGTTCATCAAGTTGAATGAGTTGTTAACGAGTAAGTAATGAGGGCTAACATTCTGTTTTGTCCATCAAAACGTGCCACTGAAACATGAGGTCAGAGTTGATAAAACTGATAAATATATTTCTTATCTCAGTATCATTCGGCATCTTCCTACGATATCTTCTTCGACAATGTAAGAATTGGTCGTTCCACATTGAGAGGAAGAAAAGTCGGCTCAAGTCTTTCGATAACTGGAGGCATTCTGCTATCTGTTTCAATATTCCAAATCATTTTTTTCGAATATTTTTGATAAAACAGGCCAAAGGCTTTAGGGCTATCTTGCAAAATTTTCGGATTTTTGACTTTGACACTGACCTCATGTTTCAGTAGTGCCAAGTGAGAATATCAATGGAACAGTGATTCCAAACAAATTGATTTCCAGTTATTTTATTACTGTTCAAGTCTTTACCTGATGCTGCCTGATTTTCTATTTGTTTCATGAAACCCAGGAAGCCTCGACTTTATTATTCTCGCACGAATAAAATGTATACTAACGTTCCCATATTGAAATAGCTGATTAATTTAACTCATCAACTGAATCTCACTTACTGATTCTAGTAATAACAAGCGTATTTGGATCATAGCTATAAATTGGTTCCCTTATCGGTTCAACATTCTCATACTTCAGCTTCGCAGTGTAGTCCATCTTCCTTGCATCATCTTTTGTTACGTAACTAACCCTCTGAAGAAGTCCATCAGGGTGGTAAACATAGTACACCCCTTTCTCTCCCAATTTATCTCTCCGATCTTCCCTCACCTGGAATCTAGCTGCCTCGGTCGCCGTATCGTTAGCAGACAATTCTGTGGTACTGGTCATTGGAATTTCTGTTGTCGTACTATCTGCAGACTCTGTAGTGCCTGCAGACTCTGTTGTAGTCGCAGATTCTTCTGGAGGTGGTGGTCCATACACTGGTTTAGGAGGAGCTCCATAGACAGGTTTCGGGAGGTCATAACCTTGTCCGAAAGACCCATATTCCTGTTGAGGAGGTCCATATTCCTGTTGAGGAGGTCCATATTCCTGTTGAGGGGTTCCATGTTCCTGCTGCGGAGGTCCATATTCTTGAGGGGAAGGTCCGAAGGCAGTCTCAGGAGTAGATGGCCCTTGTTGCCAAGGGATTTCGTATACTTCGACCTTATGAATTTCGATATCTGTAGCATGTTCCACACCGATCACTACCGATACTAAACTGGCTAGTATGAAAATCATATTGATGCTCAATGAGAATCAACAGGATAATGATATGTTTGGCCAAGTGCTCAGATTTATACCAACTGAAATCATAGTATTTTTCCAAAAAGGGTTAGCCAAGGGAAGTCAATAGCTGATTATACTTCATGTGCATTTATGGTTTGAAAACATAATATAATCTCACTGTTCCGGATAGTTGTTATATCACGTAAAGGACAAGACGTTAAATGAATAGAAAATGAGGTATTCAAAATAGACGATGAGGAATATTGTCTGGAAGGTCAGGGTTTGATATTTTCATTCGAGAGGTGTGCAGCAATGATTGGGGTCATATTTTATACAGGCTGTATCTAAATAACACCAAAAAAATTCAAGGGCTGATTCCTTGTGATATTTCAGGAAATAAAGTTCATATGAACATATGCCCTAACTTGCTTTTCGAGATACAGGGTATTATTATTTCCATGAAAGATCGTTTTTTATTCATTACTCAATTGTCTTTACATCAATTTCAATAAAACGTTGTGGTTTTGTTGATAGTAGTATGGAGCTTCTTCTGGTGGGATTAGATTCGAAATAATATTCATATTTCATATTTTCATCAGATTGAACTATTTGAAGAACCACATTTTATGCCTTGTGCGATTTTTGAATATAGCTTAGTTTCTGAGAAAACAATAAAAATTCGATTTGACTCCAAAAAGGTTGGTGTTTTCAAGGCTTCCATTGAGATTACTCAATAACCCCAATCACAATCATTTTGAAATTTTGGGGCTTTCTTAGTCTCCAACCATACTGAATTTTGGCACCATGAAAGCTTATTCATACAGGGGGGTTAAAAATCGAAACAATTAATACTTCCAACTTCAACATCCTATATCTCAAAAACGGAGCAAGTTAGAACACATACGTATATGAACTTTATCTGCCAGAATATCACAAGGAATCAGCCCTTGATTTTTTTTGGCGTTTTTTAGATACACCCTGTATCATCGATAAGGTATCGAGGTAATAACAAGGAGAAAAAGTGAAATACATGTCCTTGAATATCTCATTTTGTCATCCTGAGAAATAGAAAATATTGATCCTAATATTAATACCTACTATCTCATTCAACTCCATCATCATCATAATTAGAGATGCGCAAAATATCGATAATACTCGATAATATCGATAAAAATTCAGATGAAAAATCATCGAATTATCGATAATATCGATAATGTCAATTTATCGAAAATATCGATAACGTCAAATTATCGATGATATCAATAATACCAATGATTATAGAAAATTATCGAATTATAATTTTTGACTATTGTAGAAAAGTTTCGGAATTCCCATTGTGGAATTCGAATGGATTTCATGATTTTATATCAGTATTCATAGCAGTATGAGAAATGTGCTATAATAGTCAATACACATTTAAATGACTCCTCAATTACAAACAATTCGTGACCAAGTGCTTGAACCACTGTTTCGAATTGAAACAATATGTAATTTCATCAGTACGCGGGTCACTGTTATCTTCATAGTACAAAATCACCATCGATTACATTTACTGTGAAGAAATATGAAGAAATTTTCTACAATGTATATAAAGGAACAAATCAAATTGTGCATTCATAGTTATACCATAAACGATTATAACGATGTTGTATTCGATTTGTGTTGTTATTTTGGTGACTGTCGTTGTTTGTGGAGACTGTAAGGAGTTGGTCAACTTGGATGGAATCAGAACAGGACAGCTCATCAGTTTGCAGCAAGGCATTGAAGCTACCCCAGGAGTTTATTTATACAATCCAACTACAAATCCTGAAATCAGCCCTGTCAGAGATAGAGAAGTCGAACAACTCGAAGAAACAACTACAGGAAAAAAATCTGGTCCTGAGATGAATGGAAAATCTATAGAAGTAGCAGGGGTTGAAAAAACAGGCGCTTATTATATTTACCACCCCAATGGACTCCTCCAGAAAGTAGGGTACAGCACCAAGGATGATGTGTTGAATATGTCTTTCATGGCACGACTGAGGTACACGAATGTGGAGGCTATAGATGGACCTATCTATACTTATGATCCACAATCATATGTTTTCAGAAAATTATGAAAAATAATAGTTGAGTCAACTCAGAGTCACGAATTGTTGAAATATTTTTTTAATTATTGATGAGTTATTCAAGAAAATGATATTCATTTATGAAATATATTTTTATACTACATTCAGTTCATTGTTTACTATATTACATATATTTTATATACCTACTCACACGAGGGAATATACTGAATGGGTATAATAACATTGGTTCATTAGTATTCAAAGTGACATGTCAACCCGAACCCGAAATTGTTTTATAACAAATACATGAATCATTATCGATATACAATAAATCATCATTGAATTATGTGTAGGTTGAAAATACCGAAAATCGAGTAAGATAACATACTTTCAAATCTAAATCAAGTATTATAACCGAGATTATAACCCTAGCCGGTATATGAATTGACCACAGTAAGCGAATCACGATTACCTATATCTATAATCCATTCATAAATCTGTTTATATTCAGTTTACAGTTCATACAATATGGGTATCTGAAATATTGAAGATTTTGTCGATCAGATTATCTCTCGTTACCAGGGCGGGATTCAAGCATAGGCAACATAGGCACGCGCCAAGGGGACCGCACAACACTGGTAATGTTTTATCACCATGCTTTTGAGTTTATCCAACCAGTTTCATATGAATATGGGAAAATTGAAAAGAACATTAGTAAATGTTTCGCTAGGAGTTGTTATCATGAACATAAACTCAGATTTTCCCAACTACTAATATATTAATATATGATTTGATGATAATTAAAGACATGTGTTTTCGGTTAACATTCTATATGGACTGCTATTTACTTGCTCAATCGTACAACGGTAGGTGCGTATAAAAACTGAGGTTAGAACTGAAGATGCTGAAAGGAAACATACAGAGTCAGGCACCCAGGTATATAATAATAAATAAGATCTGAATACATCACAGTAACGAAAGGTGGATGTATCAACTCATGTTGGGAAATAATGTGAAAGAATGCTTCACCAATGTAGAAGTGACCTTGAGAATGTTGTAGCTACCTTTCCTCAACGGTGACTATCAGAAAGATCATTCTCTGAGCTGGCGCGGATCAAGAACAGACTCCAGACCTATATGTCGGGAGACAGGCTATACACTTTTTAGACTTGCTTAGTAAAGAACACGACATTCTGCGACAAGTCAACCATGAGAATATCATAAACACATACATAGAAGTACATTTAATATTTCAAAAAAGATTTATTTGAGATATACTTATGATCTAAAGAAGAGAAAAATACTTAAAATTGATTCGATCTTTTCTTGTTGACTAACCAATTTAGGTTGTGTTAAAGTTATGTTCACTTTCGTGGCGTATCTTAACCGACAATAATTTGTATTACAAACCAATAATGTGAAAGTTTCCTCAAAAATCACCATTCTGCACCTAATATATCCATTTTTTCCGGGTGAGGGCTCCCGGCTCCATCCTTTCACTGGGGGTATTCCATATCCCCCGATACCCCATGAGCCGAGGGCCCTCACCACAGGTGGAGCCTAAGGCCTATATTTTCTAAATCCGGCTCTGCTTGTTACACCTTTTTAATTACGAAATGAAAACGTAGTAGTCAACAAGCGTTCAATAAAATTAACAACAACAATAATTGAACACTTGTAGAAAGGAGCAGCATTTTAGTTATTTTGTAGTTCATCGTCAAAGGTGAAAACAATAATGTGACTCTTATCGATTTATGTGAATTTGATTTTCATTTCTTGAATGCAACTTCGATCTGATTGAGCGAATTTCACACATGAAGAATTAATGAAGCAAATAATAGAAATCCATTTCACTATCAATAGTCACCCAGAACTTGAAGAAGATGACCAATCGGAACGATAATATCAATCAAAAACGAAATCATAACATTAAAACACCATTTTATTATCAATAACCTTTACAACTCAGTTCAACCTTTTAAACACGAAGGTCATTGGATCATAAGTATAAATGGGACCAGAAATAGGTTCCACATTTTCATACTTGAAATTGGCACTATATGCCATCTTAGCCGTATCCTCCCTAGTACTGTAATCCACTCTTTGCAACAGCCCACTAGGATGGTAAATGAAGTAAATTCCTTGCTGATCCACTGGCTGAACCAACTTTTGACTCTGTTCCTCACCATCAACCGAATTGGCACTTTCAGCTTCGGTGTAAGCTTCTGTAGTGGTTGCAGCTTCGGTGGTCGTGAATTCTTCGGTAGTGGTCATTTCTTGCTCGGTAGTCGTCGGTGTTTCAGTGCTAGGAGGACCATATTCTTGTGGAGGAGGCGGTCCATATTCTTGGGCTGGAACTGGAAGATATCCCTGAGGCGGAGAACCGTACAGGGCTTGAGGAACTGGAAGCCTGAAGTCTGGTCCTGATGGTCTCCAGCCTGAGGGTTGATATGGTCCACTGTCTGGGTGAGAATACCAACCCCTATAGGCAGAAGGTGGTTCGGCTGCTGATACTGCCACAACTGCCAGAAATAAGCACAATTTGAAGGCACTGTACATGTTGTTATGGATTTTGAAGAGCTTATTTTACTTCACAGATAGCAACTGATACTAGGATGATCGGACTCGAAGTTTATATACTGTTTTTCGTTTTATCGAGATTTGACAATGACCTGATGAAAATTTGCAGCTTTGAAGAATATTTTTTGTATCAGGGTTGAATCCAAGGTTTTCCATTGATTGAATTCCAATGTGCCGGCGTTCACCTCAAAGAGTGTTTTGCGGTATTGATACGATTGTATGCGTTGTGAATGTTGATGAAGTGGAAATGCAATGAACCATATTTTCATATATTATGGAGCGATGTTTCAAATGGGGTGTTGTTTCGGACATCATATGAATGAATCACAAAAATTCAGTATTTTTCATTCAACGACTAACAACATTGCGAAAGCTTCCCGCTTGACTTTTCTGTGACAAAATATTAATCATGCAATGCATGATTGGATTATTGAGGTCCTATATAAAACTGAGTACATGATATTCACATTGATGCATATAGGTATCAGAAACTAAAGAGAGTTTCAGACTTACATGATCATGTTCGAGGAATAAGGAAGTTGATGGGTTAGCTCTCTTTTCGATTGAGCAGATGTGTATGTCCCCGTTTATACAGGATGCCCCATAAGTAATTAATCAAAAGAAGTAGGGTGGTATGGGGGGTCATCTGTAATCAAACTAACGGTATATGTTGTTATCAAATTGTTGATGGTTCAGAAGTTATTCGATTTTTCTGGAAAATGCGACCCATATTTAACAAAAAGGATGTTCTGAATAACCCCATATGTAATACCATTTCGGAATCTGTATTACATGAGCAACATTTTCTCATGATTGGTTATCTTTGTGTGATAGTTTTCAAATCTGCCAGCGGCATATAATTTCGATTTGAATATTTTATTCGATGACAAAACTCAAAAAAACAAATTTTTTTTCAGGTAGTTGATAAGAAGTATTACATCATAAAATTATTTCTGGGAAAAGGTGCATTCATGTGAATAGGATTTGTAAAAGAAAAAATCAAAAAGGGGACACAGTTTCATTGAAACTGATTGAAATTAATTCTTTTTATAGAAATGAAATGACTTTTGAACCATCAACAATTGAATAACTACATACAGGGCTAGTTTGATTGGAAATTACCCCCCTACCACCCCACTACCAGCAACAAATGACCGCACTTGAAAACATAAAAACAATGTAGCTGAATAAGTGGTGATAAAATTATAATACTCATTAGACCTGAGTAAATTTAATATCATATCATCAATTTCGAAACTGGCATTATACCTGTTCCATCATTCAACATTTTGATTGATGTTTCAAAATTATGTTGAACGACTTGAAGCCTTGATTACAAAAACCACATAGTCGAACAAAAGCTCTCTCTTCAGTTCCGCGCATTCCTGCTCGTCAATTTCATGAAAAGTGACAATATGATGCTCTTCCTTTATTTACAATGTTGATGTTCGACAGGCCATCAGTGAGAGCTAACAAAACAGGGACCAGTTATTGAGTTTCAGTGGCGTACTTAGACTTACTTGAACATCAGTCGATTTCGAAGAGCTGTATACCTAGCTATTATGTTACAAAAGAAAGTGTATCTACAACTAATGAGTCATTCATGCACTGCTTACTCGGTTGAAGACAGTAGTTGTCATGATGAATCAATTAATAATGGTAGTGCTATATAGTGAAATAATGTGACATCTCATATCGTCTTGTCAAATTCAAATAAATGAGTAGATAAGTATCTTCTCTGCAGAAATATATATATATAAATCTATAAATATAAATATAATGCTACTGTTGTGAGTACCCGAAACAAATTAGTATATTATACACCTAGGTTGAGAAGTGATAGCAAGCAATTTTAAATCCAGAGGCGCGAAGCGCCGAAGAATTCAATGTGCGAGCTATATATCATAGTATTCTCACACGTTGTATAAATAATATTTTTTTTCTGTGACGAGAAAAAAAGTTTGGCATTTCATCTCTGTAGGTAGGTTTATAAAATGTCACTTTCATAAATTCCTTTTTCCCGGTGGGAAGAAAGGAGGTACTTTTTTCCCGGATATATATCACATATATATACACTGTTGATGGCTTTTGTTGTGCTATAGTTCCGAGAAATGAGTCGATAATACCGTCTCCGAGAAAGAACTGCAAGTCCTTTTATCTCCCATTCGACTCCGCGGTTACGTATATTACTAAACAACCACTAAATTCGCAAATTTTTGAAATCAAATCACAGAATTAGACTGACAAAAGTGACAGCAGATATTTGATTACTTCAAAAGAATGATCAAGATGCCTACAACGTAGGTGTCCCTACTGTTAAAAACTTAAAATTTCACGTCGATAATTTTCAGATTTCGAAATAATGTTATATCTTCTCAATATTGATTCGTCCTTTCTTCTGTCACAGAAAAAAATAGTGTATTATACACGGGAAAAATATTAGATTTTAGCTCATGGTTTTTTGTCTCTTGACAACACTATCTGGAGCTTACATCTACTACTTTTTCCCCTTGTAAAATAAGTAACTATTTCCAATACTAGCTCTAGAGCCTACCATTATTTACTCCTTTTCAAGGCGTAAAGTGTGTGTTTTAATACCAAGGTCGTTTTCGTCATTTTATGAACCACTTGTCAAAAGACATATAGCCACCTCTGAAATAATTCACACGAATTCACTGTTCTTATGCGAGATTCGCAGGAATGGCACTCGAGTCTAGTAGGTGAAATTTCCAATCACGATTTGTCATAAGCTGTTATAGGGCAGGAAGAAAATCTTACAGTCAACTCTGCCAAAACTATACTTTATTTAAATTGGAAACTGGGACATGTTTCGATGCTTCAAAGCTTTGAATAAAGTATAGTTTTGGTAGAGTTGCCCTATTATCTTCATTCCACTGCAAGATGGATCGACTCAGATGGATAAGCTGTTATGGTGGCTACTAGATTCTAATTAGAATTGAGGAGTACTTCCATAGTAACAATAGGTCCAAATTTCAGTTTCACAGAAATATATAGTGATTGAAATTAATATAATGCTAGTGGTGAAAAATATTCAATATTCACCTTGGCACCTTGGTAGTAGAGAATGATATCACCACGAGACCATATATCCCTCTGCTGAAACCTCGTGATGTAATCTTGATCCCTGTGTAATACTGATATTGTTTACAACCTTAGTGTATAAGTATGAATAACTATTTTTCACCACTAACCTGAGAAATCATCATTATTCAAGGATTTCCTCTAATGGGAAGGATTTCCTCTAATGAGAAGTTACACTTTTAAAACCTATACCTTGTTACGAACACGTTGATACTATATAATCGATATTTTGAATCAATATCCAGTTTCATGATTGCCTAAACGCTCTAAGCGTCGTTAATAATGAAAAAATATATATTAAGGAGGATTTGAAAAGTAATATTAAACCATTCTTGTTATTGCATTTGCGCGCAACCATATAGAACTTATTAGTTTTGGCAAAAATTTTCAAGAAACACCATTTTCCATTTTCAGTTCGTTATAACGAATTATGGAATAATAAATTTTAGTCGAAATGAAAAAAATTGACATGAAATTTATTAAGATGACGAAAATTGGCAAATGGAGGTCATCGTACTCATACAATGTGATTCTTTATCGAAATAAGTAAAAATAAACCGGGTGTCCCTTTCAAAATAAGAAAATAGGGGTAGTTTCCGGTTAAACCAAAAGTGACAGAAAACAATTGAATACGTCAAATAATGCATATTTATGTACTTCACTATAACACACCTAATTTCATTTATTCATCTGTAGAAACGAGAACATTATAGGGGTTAGCAACTTTTGAAAAACAATACCTGCCACCCCCTACCCCATTTCCAAATAGCAGGGCTCCCTCCTAATAATTTCCGTATTTCATCTGCCTCCGATTTCATGGATTCAGTATTATAGCTAACGTAAAGTAGTTCATTCAACTATGTTACGTTTTTTAAATTATCAGTCATAACATAGTCGATGTGAACGTGAATATAAAATTCGATATATGACATAATTTCTAGAAAAATTATCAATTATGATAAAAAATTAAATAAATAGTATACCTACATATATTAACATATTGAACGTGATATGAATATTGGATGTGTCTTGGAAGTGTCTTATTTATTCATCCATTTATACTATCACCAATACAAACAAAAAATCGTTCTGATGTGCCAAAATATGTGTTGTCACATTTAGATCCCATTATGTGTTTGATATCGATGGAATACGAATTCAATTTTCTGAGGAAAATGAGATATCTATGATCAGATAAAATGAAATAAAAAACTAGAACTAGATAGCTCGAGATTCGTAACCCTTAATATGAGAGTATATATGGCTAAATATGTTCGAAATCTTCCCACCTAAATATCACTTCCTTTCAGATATACGTCAGTGAACCTGACCTCTGTAAAGAATATACTTATAAAAAGAAAGAAAAGGCAAACATCTGAATGGATATTATATAGAATGAAGAGATTTTGTATTTCGTGTAAATTTTTTTAATTATAAATCGCAAAGCGCTTTCGGCTAAAAAGCCATCATCAGTGCTATACCTGCAAGTAAGTAACATTTGTGAAATTTCAAAAACAAATCTAAAAAGGTAGATTACTTACTCGTCAAGTATTTACAAAAAGGTCCAAAAATTAGTGATCACAAACATCATTATGGTACAAACGGGATTATGAACAGACATACATTTAACAAAAATGTTCCCTAAAGGGTTATTGTAAAATTTTTTTCAAAAATACATGTTGAGATTGTTTTGTTCAAGTCCAGAAATAGCACGAGGGACCTTAACCTTATTTATTCTGGAAAATGTTTGATAATTTTCAACCTTAGTAAAATGTTGACAATGACTGAGTGTCAATGTCTATGACTTAGTTAACATGTGTATGAAGTAGACAAGTGACATAATGGAAAAAGCGCTTGGGAAAGAATTGACAAGGTGA